GTGAGTTCTCCATCACCATCTTCATTAAAGGCTCGTATACAACATATTCTAGTGTAGTTTAAAGGTCCCAAAGAGACGAGAGGTTTGCGTGCCCACATTCTGGAGATATCTTCTGTTTTCTGTTTTCAGGAGCAAGTACCTTAGGTCAGTCAAATTTCCATCGTTTCTTATGATCTAGGGCTAGTTTAAAACATATTCTAGTGTTATTTGAAGGTCCTGAAGAGACGAGAGGTTTGCGTGTCTGTGTTCTGGAGATATCTTCCATTTTCTGTTTTGGGGAGCAAGTACCTTAGGTCAGTCAAATTTCCATCGTTTCTTATGATCTAGGGCTTGTTTAAAACATACTGTAGTGTAGTTTGAAGGTCCCAAAGAGACGAGAGGTTTGCGTGTCTGCGTTCTGGAGATATGTTACATTTTCTGTTTTGGGGAGTGAGTACCCTAGGTCAGTCAAATTTCCATTGTTTCTTATGATCTATGTCTCGTTTAAAACATATTCTAGTGTAGTTTGAAGGTCCCAAAGAGACGAGAGGTTTGCGTGTCCGCATTCCAGAGATATATTACATTTTCTGTTTTGGGGTGTGTGACTCTGTCACACCATCTCAGGCAATTCTTAGCTATTTTCTATGATCTTAGGTTCATTTAAAGTATATTCTATTACTAGTTGAATAATATGTACAGACAAAAGCCAATTTTATTTGTTTCAAATGAGCTAGTATGTGTGTTTGATGAGGCTGAAAATCCCGGCTCTAGCCGGCTCAAGCAGTAGCCAAGCAAGATCAATCAGCTCGGCTCGGCTCGGCTTTAATTTCAGCTCGGCTGTGGCTTGAACCAGCTAAAAGCCAAAGCCATGGCAACACTATTCCCACAAGAGGAGTAAGAGCAGTTAATGCTCTCCTAGATTTTTTATATTTGGCTCAATACAAAACTCATGACAACATTACCCTAGGTTATATGCAAGATGCTCTGGATCACTTTCACGATGACCGAGACTACTTTATTCAGGTGGAAATATGAGAAGACTTTAACATCCCCACAAGGGGGTGGCGGAATGTGGAAAAGAGACCAACACTCATTATTTTTTTATCAGGGTTACACCTGACACCCCCCCACCATTACCTTCCTAATAAAGTATGTTTTCCCCATACTCAAGTTTTTTTTTTTTTTTTTTTTTTTTGAATTCAAAAATTTCTGTGTAACAAGTAAGCTACGCACAGGTGGTTGACTGTAAACTAAGCCTAGGCATCGTAAGGATGCATATAGCATGCTGTTGAAACAACGGCTATAGGGTACTCATGAGGGATCCACCACAGCCAGCTGCATTGCAAGAATCTGAGGTGTTGAGAGTGGTGTAACTGGTTGCAAGTAGGTCATGATCAGTGTAAAGATAGTTATGAGGAGACCAGCATGAGAAAATTTGAAATTGACAGCATCAACATTTTTTTTTCAGCCTTCAGCCAGACACCCCCCCCTCCTACCCTTGGTTCGGGATCCACATCCTGCTACCCCCTTGTATCCCCAAGTTTCATTCCCTCATTCACTACATCGAATCTATCAAGGCTTTTGGTACTACTGACAACTACAACACAGAGATGTTTGAACATCTCCATATTGATTTTGCTAAATATGGCTGGTAGTGTTTTAAAGTCCAGTCTAGTCTGGTTTTTTACCTCAAAATGAGGCAACTGGCAACCACAACCAGTCCAGACTGATCCAGATATTAAGGGACCCCAACCAAACCCTTTTAGACCGGTGTCGGAGTTTTCTAAGTTCGGTCACAATTGGTCACAATTTGTTGTGCGCGTCACAATTTGGATTGCCGTCATAAGTCAGTGTGACCACAGAGTTTTTAATTACAATTGTCATTACAATGCCGGTTGCAACGAATATTGGAACCACATTCCAACTCCGCGATAAGATTGCAACGATAACGATACGTGATAACGGGCTACCAAAAGTATTAGTACTGTCCTGTGTTTTTGTAGTCCCTTATTGTATTCGCTTTTGTAGTTACGGTTAATTCATTAGTCTTCTTATTGTAGTGTTTCTGTTATTCTTGTTATTGTAGTGTTCCTAGTAGTTTGTAGTTAGTAATTATTGCGCTGTGTGGGATTTGAACTTATGACTTACTGATCGTTATTATTTGAAACCTTTCTTACCTTGTCCATAGTAACTGCTAGGTTATTGCTTGATATATAGACAAGCCCTTCGGTTCAACTTGACAGAATGGCCACTGGTTCCCACCAGTCCCAATGCGTCGCCACAGGCCCACCACGATTTCTTCCCTTTCCCCCTCGCCAAGAGGCCCCACTTCATCGTCAGGCCTTTCCTCGCTCAATCCCAGTCCTTTGACCACCACATCCGCGCTTCTCCCTCAACTATTCTTTGGATCGGACCGAAGTTGAGCTCGATCTGCAACAGGTACGTCACATACTCATGGGAGACTAATGGATCACTCTGGTCTAACACCAGCTCGTACATGCACCTTATGGACAACTTTGATTTGACTGCCATTCTCCCCATCGAGATCCATACCGACATACCAAGAGGACCGAATTGGCGCTGCCCGCGGAATCGAGAGTGTTGAGGGAAACCGATACCCTGACGTGGGTGGATGCTGCGTGTTTCGGTTTTTATCGGAGCAGGCCCCAAAATGTGCTTGTAAGTCTTTCTTTTACTCTGGCATTATCTTGCCATTGGGCCTCTAATTGTAGGTGCTTTCTTCGTGTTATGACACCGCTCACGATGCGGGTTGTGTCGCCTGGCATGTACTGGATGTCAACCACCGGCCTTCCCTCGGATGTGTCAATTAGTCTTTTGCGAACGCCCATTTATGAGTCATTCATTCATCATACGGACCATGCCCATTCCAAAAACAGATGGGGGACAGAAAAGCACATTTGAAGAGATCAGGACCGGGTAGACGGGGAACCTAATGAGGGTGTCAGAGGCGAGGAAAGTGTTGTCTTATTTCTTGCCGAGTTTCTTGACACGGGCGACATTGTCGCCACCTTATGTATCCTCTGTTCCCTGGTTTTCGTTGCTTTTGTTTAGACTCACTGTACTGTATGTCTTCACCCTTTTGACAAAAATGAAACTCCCATTCCAACAAAATACTGACGAAACACGATGCACACGAAAAAGTAGCTACATACCAATATCACGATGTGTCAATGAAGAAACAGTCTGCCTCAAACTCGACGTCCGCTCCTGCAATTTGCTGCAGGCACTGCCGCTGCCATCTCCGCTGCAGCAGCCACTCCGACCGCCATCTCCGTTGCAGCTGTCACTGTTGCCGATCCCTTCGCAGGTGCCCGTGCCTTCTTCCCCTTCTTAGTGTTAGCGGGTCGTGCCACCTCTTGAACGATGGGTTGCGAGGGTCCAGCCATCATGGATTGAGGCTGATGTGACATTGAACCTGCGGTGTTGATAGTTGAGTCAGCACGGCGCTCTGCGTGAGCACCAGAGTGGCTGGCTTGGCCCGGGGTGCTGGTGCTTGGGGTGAGGGTGAGCCTGGTGAATGCTTCCTCGAGGCTGCTGCTGTCGTCGTCGTTGATCAGTGCCACTGTGTTATTGTCCATTTGTGCCTTGAAGATGATGTCGTTGTAGAATTTGAGTAATGCCTTGTGGTACGGTGTGCCTGCCTTCGCCTGGATAAACTCGCATACAAATTGAAGTCTTTTTGGTAGTCAATGCCCGAACGAGCACCTTTCCCTGCTGCATTGAACTCCACGTCGGGGGAAAATGCTGCCTGAACCTATGGTAAGACCAAAAACTGAATCATTGTCCAAGAATTTGAAATGAAAATGACGTTTACCAGAATCGCAATCGTCACAATGCTACCTTCAGTGATGTATAACACTTTCCACAGTTTGGCGTACGTTTTCGGCTTGGCGTAAGTTTTATTCCAGGAGATGGAAGCAGCACCTTGCAGGAGGCCCTTCAATGCCTTGGTTGATGGTGCGAGGTGAGTAAAGACCCTGTAAATATAGGTACATCTCCTGTAAACGTAAAAACATGTCCACATCAACAATATACGTACAACCTTTTCCGTTGCCTTGGCTTGCTTTTGTGTTTCCATTTGGCCAGATAAGATGACGAGAGTGAGACGTTCACAACATAAATGCTCCACAGACACGCCATGAGGTTGGGAGAGAGGAATGGGAGCAAATGGGAGGTAATCAGGTCGTTATCAACAAGACGTCAATGATCCATCATTACGCAGATACAATTCCCGATACAATCACGTTGTAACTGATCCGGTCCATCAATTCTCAGTTATAACCGAACTAGGACCCTTTCAACACCTTGATCCGATGGCAATCTATTGCAACTCAGGTTCAAACCAGTGTTGAAACTCAGTCATAATGCAAGCCAGTTGTGACCGGCTAAAGAAATCTCTGACAGGTCCTAATCGGTTCATAACACAAAAGAAACTGGTCCAGACTGGTTGTGACCAGTCTTTTGTTGAAAAATTTATTGTACCACAGAAAATAAATATTACCTTATGTACATAGCATACGTAGATAAATGTTTTAATTCTCTGTAGACCAATTAAAAATTTAAGCAATTCTGTGAAGATTTGACTGAGATATGGCAAAAATGGAAAGGATATACATTCAAATTATGTATAAAAATGTTTTTGGCCATATCTCAACCAATTCTTGACCGTTTTTTATGATTGAGGGACCAAAAATCAAATAAAAATGTGTGCAAGTAATGTCCAACATGTGATGGGGTGAAAGACTAGTTGGAACCAGTCTAAACCAGTCTTTTTCAGTTTTAAAATGTTTACAAAAATGTGGCAACTGGCAACTGGACTGACCACAAATGTGGGCAACTGCAACTGGAAAAAGACCAGACCATGGTTCAGTCCAGTTTGGTCCTATGTATATTTTCAGTCTTGTAGACTGGACCTGCAAACACTAATGGCTGGGCAGCTTCCAATCGTCAAGACGAATTTCCTCAGATGACTACCTGGCTTTCTTGCCAAGAGAAAATTTCACTCTATGAAACTTATCTTAGCTGGACAGATTCCCTCAAGAATGTCGCTACCCCCTCCCCCTCTGTCGCCACCCCCTCTCCCAGATGCCTTCTATGACCATCACAAAACACCCAACATTCCCTTCCATTCCAGAAAGATCAAAAATATAGAAAGAAGTCACAATGCTATTGGGTTTTCACACCATCTCGAACTATTATTCAACAGCTATCTTCCTCAAGATGCCAGGACCAGTAACACATCTGCTGTCCAATATGATCTTCCTATCGACAGTGTTGATGTATTCTCACAATTCAAGTTCCAGTCTTGTAGCCAAGATGATGATGGTGAGCTCAGTGCCAGTGAAATTGTTAAGGCCAACCCCAAGGATGGACATTTCAATACAGTTGTGGTCTTAACTGCCACTGACGCAGAATCTACAGCACTACAAGGTAAGTTCAAATTACAAAACAAATTATCATATAATGAATTCCATTAGGAACACATATTGGGTGAATTTGTGTCATCTTCCAGCTGCCCAATGTGATCTTTAAAGCACCCATGGCCATTGATGCCCTCAGATCATGGCCAAGAGAGCACATGGCTTTCATTGAATGGTATTCATCTATACCCAAACAGGCTGGTAAAGACCACAATATGTACCTCATACACACCCTCTTCGATTCAACACAGCTGTCCTCCATGGCTACCATTGTCCCTCTTTCATCTATTAGACAAGGATGCATGCTGACTAAGTTATGGTCAAATCTCTAAAATATCACTCAAATGTGTAGACTTTCAAGGATAATTGCATAAATATGTCAATTCTTCACCGATTTTAGCATTCTTGGGCTCATTTTGAAGCTAGAATATGCAGAAATAATATCTATCAAGATACATATGAGCATATTTGTCTTGTTATAACCAATTCTTTATTTTTCAGTCCTAACTGGTTAGTAACTGCAAATAACCGACCATAACCGGTTAGTAACTGCAAATAACCGACCATAACCGGTTAGTTGCAGTCTGGTTAGGTTATTTTAGGTTTCAGGACAAAGGCTAACTGGTCTCGGTCTCGGTTAGGGCCCCTGGGAACCAAATAACTGGACCTAACTGGACTTTCAAACACTAAAAAGAACAGCTAGCAAAGTGCCTCCATGCATGTCTGGGGAAATACAAGTGATACGATGAATGACTATATTGTTGTACACTAATTAAATACATTCAATATACACTTTATATATTCAAATATAGTGTGGTGAGGAAATTTGAAGGCCCATAAAGTCTGCTTCAGGGCTTTTTAAGGACAGCCCAGGCCACCCTAGGACAACCTCAGGACACCTCAGGACAACCTCAGTGCACCTCAGGACAACCTCAGTGCATCTCAGGACAACCTCAGGTTGCTCCTGAGAAATCAAAAAAAGGAACCTGTATCTGAGGGTGCTCCAGGGCACCCTGATGCCTTGAGTTCTGTGACAGCCCCTGGGTATCCAGGGTCTACACTGGATACCCTCAGGGAAGAAGTAATTTTCCTGATACAGGCTTGCCAGATGGTGGAGGTGAAGGGAGTGGGAGACATGGATCTGGAGATGAGAGTCATGTGTAGAGGATCCTGTAACCCTGGAACAGGAACATCCACATGAAATATACATGTTGTGGTTTCAAGTAGAGTTGATTTGTTAAGAAGTACCAACATACAAAATGACAAACAGATGTAAATACAATGTAACTGTCATGCAAGAAGTAGGTAAGTGATACTATGCTGCTACAACCCTATTATGCCAATGCAGGAGTTTTCAGCTGCAGCTGTGCAGCTTCCTCAGATTTTCCTTCCTTTGAATATGTGGCTACAAGATTACTCATGCTGACCAAGGTATCTGGATGTTCTGGCCCCAGTACTCTTTTACTCAGATCCATGACTTTCAGCTGCAGCTCCCTAGCCTCCTCATATTTTCCTTGATTTGAATATGTCCATGCAAGATTATTCATGCTGCCCAAGGTATGTGGATGTTCTGGCCCCAATACTCTGTTACGCAGATCCAGAACCTTCAGCTGCAGCTCCCCAGCCTCCTCATATTTTCCTTCATTTGAATATGTCATTGCAAGATTATTCATGCTGACCAAGGTGCCTGGATGTTCTGGCCCCAGTACTCTGTTGCGCAGATCCAGGACTTTCAGCTGCAGCTCCCCAGCCTCCTCATATTTTCCTTGATCTGAATATGTCATTGCAAGATTATTCATGCTGTCAAGGTATGTGGATGTTCTGGCCCCAATACTCTTTGATACAGATCCAGGACTTTCAGCTGCAGCTCCCCAGCCTCCTCATATTTTCCTTGCTTTGAATATGTCAATGCAACATTATTCATGCTGACCAAGGTATCTGGATGTTCTGGCCCAAGTACTCTTTCAATGAAGATCCAGGACTTTCAGCTGCAGCTCCCCAGCTTCCTCATATTTTCCTTGATTTGAATATGTCACTGCAAGATTATTCATGCTGCCAAGGTATATGGATGTTCTGGCCCTAGTACTCTTTGATACAGATCCAGGACTTTCAGCTGCAGCTCCCCAGCCTCCTCATATTTTCCTTGCCTTGAATATGTCAATGCAAGATTATTCATGCTGGTCAAGGTAGCTGGATGTTCTGGCCCAAGTACTCTTTGATGCACATCCAGGACTTTCAGCTGCAGCTCCCCGGCCTCCTCGTATTTTCCTTGCTTTGAATATGCCGATGCAACATGTGTCATGCTGACCAAGGTATCTCGATGTTCTGGCCCCAGTACTCTTTCACGAAGATCCAGGACTTTCAGCTGCAGCTCCCCAGCTTCCTCATATTTTCCTTGATTTGAATATGTCACTGCAAGATTTGCCATGCCAGTCAAGGTATTTGGATGTTCTGGTCCTAGTACTCTTTCACACAGATCCAGGACTTTCAGCTGCAGCTCCCTAGCCTCGTCACATTTTCCTTGATTTGAATATGTCAATGCAAGATTATCCATGCTGACCAAGGTAGCTGGATGTTCTGGCCCCAGTACTCTTTGATGCACATCCAGGACTTTCAGCTGCAGCTCCCCAGCCTCCTCATATTTTCCTTGATCTGAACATGTCAATGCAAGATTACTCATGCTACCCAAGGTATCTGGATGTTCTGGCCCCTGCTTCTTTATTCTCATTTCTACAATTTTATATTGAAAATACTCTGCATCTTTCCACATTCCATTTACATCCAACACATAACTAAAGTTAGAATATTCCTTATCATTAAATACTCTTTCAAAGCCATTTTCCTCCTGTGACTGGTAAATGGCTTTGATGTGTGGCACAAGAAGCCTGTTGAATGCAATGTTCTCAGCTGTCATCTCCTCTGTAATACAGTTTACAAGGATCAATTTTGACACTTGCATCATGCACTTCTTTTGAGATTTTGACATTCTATCCCTACTCCATTGATGCATCAATGGATGAATTGCATAAATTCCTGGAGAGGTTGATTGCTGCTTGATTAAAGAAAAGGACATAAGAACCCTAACTCCTTCATGAAAGAAGAATTGATTCCAAGACTGATCTTCTTCAAGCTGAAGCAATTTATTCATACATGTTTCAACTTCTTCTTCTAGTCCACTATGCAGTCCTTTGGAGAACTCAACAGCAGCCTTTCTAAAGGCAGCCTCAATGATATTCTCATGATGTAGAAATGCAGCAGTTTCCAGAATAAGAAGAGCAGCCTGAGCAGCTGCTCTACCATGCCCATCAGATTTCCTATTTGACCTTGATTCAATTTCATTGAATGACAAATCCCATGTTTCATAGACTGTACGATCATACTGAGATGCACCCCTAAATGAAGGGTGGTTCATAAGCTTGTTCCTATGTTGAGAGAGATGCTCAAGGTAATTATCAATACTACAGAGACCAGCTTCAATGGAAGCACCTGCTTGATCAACAGCTAGAGGTAAGCAGCAGAGCTCATTTACAATTTGTTGAGCTGTGCCATAGACATGTTCAGAATGCCCAGTTAGATGGCTGGCTTTCAGAAAAAGTGATATGGCTTCCTTTCCAGCCATCTGATTAATCTCAAGTGAATTTTCATAGGATTTAACCCACCCAAGAGATCGATTTCTGCTAGTAACCAGAATATTTCCCTGAGAACCAGATGGGATAAATTTTTCTACTACTTCAGGTGCACCATCAGCATTGTCAAACACAAGCAGCCATTCACTCTGCAGAGATCCAATCCACAGAAGAGCAGACTGAGAGGACATAGAAATACCAGCAGCTTTAGCATCAGGATGAGAACAAAGACCCTTTAAACCAAGAGCAATAGTATCTTCAGAAGATGCATCAATCCAGAAAACATGAGAGAATCTAGATGTACTTGTCAGAAAATCAAAAATATAGTATGTGAAAAGACTTACCTTTCAGCCATCTTTTCAACAAACTTCAGACAAATCTGTGTCTTGCCAATACCCCCCATGCCATACAACAAAAAAGACTTCCTGCTTCTATCTACTTGATCTTGAGGTGAAAAGTGATCCATCAGCCTCTTGATAACATCCTCACGGCCTGTAAATAAGGCACTTGAATTGGGTCTTTGGTGAACAAAGGGTAATTCATCTTGACCCCCACTGGCATGTTGATGAACCTCAATCTTGACAGCAAAGTTTGATCAATATCTCAAACCATCAATGCTATTGTCACAGTACACACCTTTTGAGCAGCATAGAATGTTGTATCCTTTATAATGAAGTTGTGAGCTCCCGAGAATACATTCTAGGATTCCCAAAGACAAAGGGCATGAGCCAAAGAATTTATTCAAGCATTATTAATACGCACCGGCGACGTTTCTCCCCCCGTAACCTCTGGCACCCTTGTAAATGTCGACCTAAATCTCGTCAGCATGCTATCTGCCAGCGTGGGAGTCATGAACCCCAACCTCGAACCGCTAGGGCGTGAGCCTTCGTAACGTGGGCGGTCTGCGCCCATGAGCCGGTTGAGGATTCCCTTGAACTTTCCTTTCAAACGATTTTCACGAGGGCGGTTGGGATCAGACATCGTGGTTCAGAAGAGAGTTGTTGATGCTGTGCGGCGTCAATTTTCCGGATGGGTAATGGACGGTTTCACAGAGTCAGCTGACGTTCCTCGACGATGTTGACGGGCTTGGGTTGCTCAACGTTTGTTTTGGTCGCGTTCTCTTTTTCCACTTGAAGTCGCGCATATAACCACCTCCAATGTTCCCCACGCGGCCTGCCTCGTTTTTCTAATGCTCGGACTATTGATATTGTGCGCATATAGTCACCTCCGAAGTTCCCCAACCCACGTTCGGGCGTCTTCCTCATTCATTCTTTCCGTTTTGCAGCGAGGAGAATGCATTGCGGGAATTCGCGGCTGACGCTTCACATGTATACATACATTGTCGCAAAAGGCGGCCTGCATTCAGCATGCGACAAAGTTCAATGGCTCTGGACTGGCGGGACGTACCTGAGATATCGCATTGGCATCTATCACGGATACCCTCTTAG